TTCAAATATTTACATAATTGTCTTTTACAGTGTCTTGAAAAAGGAATAAAACCATTCCGAAAGCTCGACAAAAAGTCAAAAGAGTGTTTTTTTAACATCCCGGCCAAGATTCTGACTGCAACCCTAATAAACTGTGTTATTTGTTTATATCGACAGTCACTAATATCCAGTATTTCTTATATATATATATATATATATATATATATATATTATATATATATATATATATATATATATATATATATAGTTATTTCCTGAGAATTTTTAAATAGTAGAATTTTTTTTATTTCCTGGGTTTGTCTGTCTGTTGTAAATAAAAATACTTAACCATTGCTTAAATGTTGCAGCAATTTGCCATTTTCAATAAGCACTTTATTTTATAAGTAACGGAAAGTAAGCCAATTGTTAAAATGTTTAAGCAATAGTTAAGTATTTTTATTTACAACAGTCCGACAAACACAGGAAATAAAGATGTCTCCATTATAGAGAGAGAGAGAGAGAGAGAGAGAGAGAGAGAGAGAGAGAGAGAGACAGAGAGAGAGAGAGAGAGAGAGAGCGAGAGAGAGAGCGAGAGAGAGAGCGAGAGAGAGAGAGAGAGAGAAAAGAGAGAATAGAATTGTTCTAATATAATGAAAAACAGTAGCATAATTAATGCATATTTATTAAAAAATTGTAATGTAATTTTAAAGATATATCCAGTAAAATTTTTTATATCATAGTGTACAAACTTAAATACAACATACATGGAAAATAAGTGTGCGATATTACTTAATTATATTTGACCCTATATTACAATCCTAGTCCTAATTATCATTAAATATTTTATACATCGAAATTAATTTTAATTCTTAAAGTATAAAACTATTAACTAAAGTATAAAACTATTAACTAAAGTATAAAACTATTAACTAAAGCATAAAACTAATTATTAAAGTATTAAACTCCTTCCTCTTCTTTCTCTGCTTGGACCTCATAAACAAAATTCATCAATTTGCTACGCAGCATCCTAGACCTCTTGGGATTTTTAATTTGGCGTATTTCTGCGCCTAAATGTCTGTAACAATATATGAGATTATTTCAAGTTATATACTTGATTTATTGCAACAAAAATATTTAAACATGAAAATCATACAAATATTTACAAAATAAGTACTATTTTTTTTACTTACACCACGAAATTGTCAACAAGATCTGCTTCAGATTTAGAATCTGTTTCCTGTTTTTCTAAAAGTCGTGTTGCTCCCTCCATAATTTTTACAGCATGCACATTATTAGTTGTGTTCGGTTTTAGAAAAACGGAGCGGAGCGAGCAGATGCAGATTTGATATCACGTGATCACAGATCTAATCGAGTGAAAGTTATTTAACGAACGCTCGTTGAAATGTCATTTGTCATTGTCGACAATCCTTAAATAAATAACTTGACCTGTTTTTAAATTTTTGGCGTTCTTTTGTTTTCGGTGTGTTGGATCATCAATTATATTTTTCGATAATTTTGAATATTCAGTCTGTAAAAACAGAAGTGAAGAGATATTGGTAATTATTAATGATTCCATTAGAATTATCTGACCCATCCAAGGAATAGCTAGGATAAAAAAATTTAGGGATTATCACAGTTGATTAGTTTTAATTACAAGATTTACCAGTACGGAAATGTAAACTTAAATCAATTTTGTCGAGATTACAAACACTTCTATCTGCGATGAATTTTTGTTTGGTAATTTATCATATAAATATCGTAGAATCAAGATACAAATCGGTTTCTGAAAGTTTGAAGACTCATGTAATGTTTGTTTTAAGGTACCTATTTCTTTGAAATTTTCTTATGAACATGAACATGGCTGTTGAGGAAACCGTTTTAATGTCCATTAAAATGGTTCAGGAATTAATTTTTGATGATAGTGACGATGAAACTGATGATAGTAAAGTTTTGCCAAAAGTTGATAACTTTGCAGAAGAGACTGTTCCTCGTTTTAGTGATGGGCAGTTTAAAATGCATTTTAGGATTAATCCCGATACATTTGAAGATCTTTTGCAGAAGCTTCACGATATTCAGCTTCCTCATAATGAAGAACCTAACACCAGAGGACATCCTTCCATTACTGTAGAAAAACAAACAATGGTTACTATTTGGTGTCTCTCAAATTTAGAATCCTTTAGGTATAAGATAACAAACACCATTGTTACATGTTTATTAAAATTGTATTGTGATTTTCAGATCAGTTGCTGATAGGTTTGGGATAAGCAAAAGTACATGTTGGGATGTATTGTATAGAACCTGTAGGAACTTACTTAAAGTGAATACAGCATACAAAATTATATCCTGGCCTAACAGGAATCGTGCTCGTCAAATCAGTGAACGATTTCAATATATTAATGGTTTTCCAGGTTTGCAAGAAATTCTTCAAAACAAGAATAATTTTTTTTATTAAATATACTTGTAGGAATTATTGGAGCAATAGATGGTTCCCATATAAGAATATTAAAACCAAAAAATCACCGAAACTCGTACTGTAACAGAAAAAATTATCATTCAGTACTATTACAAGGCGTGTGCGATGATAAAATGTTGTTTTTGGATGTATATGCAGGAGAGGCAGGATCCATGCATGATTGGAGGCTTTATACTAAATCGGATTTGAGTCTGAGAATAAATGATGGTTCAGCCGAAATTCCGACCAATATGCATATGATTGGAGATCTCGCATATAAATTGTCCTCCAAAATACTAATAGGTTTCAAAGACATTGGGGGGCTGAATATTTATGAAAAAATTACAATCTAAAACTGTCACAATGTCGTGTTGTGATTGAACATTCATTTGCGTATTTGAAAGGACGGTTTCGTCGTTTGAAATCGTTAGAGACAATAAAAGTGGATTTAATCGCACTTCTTATTGTCTCAGGTTGCATTTTGCACAATATTTGCATTTTGAGGGGAGATTCACCTGAAGAACTTGTTGCCAAGCATGAATTAGAAGAGGAAAGAGAAAATGTCAATGAAGAGGCAGAAAATATTGCACAGCCAAACAATGAGGCAGGAATACATAAACGAAATTTTATAATGCATTCATTAATTGTAGACCAGAGATTCCTTTAATAAATAAAAAATAAAATGTCTTTGTTTTATAAATTTATATTTATTCTGTCAAACAAAACCAATCTAGGAAAATAAATAACATACTACTAATAGTTAATCAGTCGGAACTCCAAAACTATAAAACAAACAGTAAATAAATAATATGTACGTTTTATTCAATCAGGAGATAAACTCCAAATATATAAACTAAAAACAGAAAATAAATTAACAATAGTTTCAGTCAAGACAAAAAAGATAAATAATATGTACTACTAATGGTTAATAAAATAAATAAACTACAAAAATATGAAATGAAAACAGAAAATAAATTAACAATACTTTTGGTCAAGAAAAAGAAATAATATGTACCTTCCATACTTAATAAGATCAACTGCAAAAAAAATATTCAAATATAAATAAATAATAAATAAAACTTGCGAAATGCGTTTATTTGGTAAAAGCCCTACTTCCCGCCAAATCCACACAGGTTGGTGACACTGAATTCACGTCCAATAAATGCGAAAAATAGAACATGTTCTATTTCGTCAATTTCTTCACGAAGTTATTCACGCAAAATTGGATGTCAAATTGTGCTTTACACACATCAAAGTTGACCTTGAAGCGACTTCACGAATTTCTTTATTTATTGTTGGTGTAAAGCCCGTATAAGCCATTGTTAGGTGTTTGTTGATAAGAAATCTGTGCAGCAACTATTCTGTTTAATATGCATTGAATGAATACGAAAGTAGTCATTAGAATTGTTCCTGGGTATGGTAACTGCCAAAGCAAAGATGTGCTTTGTATAAGGATATACATTTATATGCAAGGATATATACAAAGATATATTAATATAAAATTTTATTTGGTTTAATCATTTTATTTTCTGATGAAAAATTTACTTTATTATAACTCTTCTATTAACTGTAAAGTTTTTCGTTTAAAGAGCCTTTAATTGTATGGTGTTATTGCCTCCACATCATCCAGAAAGCTTAATAAAAATAACTCGCTCGAACTGTTCTTTTTTGTTCTTGAATTTAATTCTTTTTGTTTCATTATTTCTATGTATTCCGACATATGCTTATCCACCTCATTTGATGATACTTTTCTTTTTTGTTTTTAGGTGATGTACATGAAACACCCTCCTGCTCTTGGGTGTCTTCCACATACACCGTAATAGTTTTACCCTTATCTGTTTCTAAAAGCCCGTCTTCATCTAGTTGGAAAGAACTACCTAAATTTTCTGATGGTGGCAATGAATCGAAAGATTCAGGAAGTGGTATATTTGATTTGGAAGGCCGATCTTAAATGTGTCGTTTCAGAAAAGTGTTGATAAAAATAGACCCACTTCTTTATCGGCTTTGCACCACTTCCTGAAGGGGCTTCATATTCCCCGTGTCTCCGTTTCCTATACCCAGCTCTTAATATTTGACACAAATCACACATTTCTATAACTTGGAAAATATTCTCTAAATAGAATATATATACATACAAATTAAATATTTATCTGTCTTATTCAATCTGCTGGCTATAATTTGCCACAAAGAATCAGATAAGTCTCTATTGGAGCATCCAGGCAAAGACTGATCATACAGAACATCAATCGCTCTGAAATAACGTATTAATTGGTCTATTTCCGAGGTACTCCATTTATTAGGACTTATTATTTTATAACGTTCCTCAGATCGAATTGAAATGCTCCAGTCGAATCGAAATCTTTGTGAATCGTAATGTTTCACATCGAGCACTTCTTGGATCGGTATTCTATAACCCGGGTCGAAGAAAACACAAATCGAAAACATTGATTTCGATTTTCCTCGGTTTAAAAACAGTGGCAATGTCGAATTTTATAGGAAATGACAGATTGATAAATAAGTTTGAATTTGAAGTTTTGATTAAATTTTTTAAATGATTTATAAAATCCCAATGGCTACTCCAAGCAAGAAGAAAATATCTGTAGAACAACTAAATTATATGGTGGATTTTATTACAAAAAATAAAATTTTGCTTCACAGAAAAACCAAGCCTTCAGAAGCTAACAACAAGCTTGTTGAAAAATTATGGAATGAGCTTACTTTAGCTTTAAATGCTATAGGTTGTGGTCCCAGCAAATTAAAATTACAATGGAAAAAGGTAATTAGTTGTGTTTATTATTATACAGTATTATAAATAGATTTGGTAATACAGGTATCTATTTTTATATATTTATATATTTTTTATAAATTTATGATTGTTTTTAGACTTTTATTGACTGGAAAAGTTATACCAAGAAAAAGACCCGAGATGTTATTAGAGCTAAAAATAAGACGGGCGGCGGGGGTGAAGCAGACTCAAAAATATTAACTCCTGTAGAGGAGAAACTAATGACTGCCCTATCATACATTACAGTTACGGGGGCAGATGTAAATGAGATAGGTATTGAAATGCATCCAAACAGCCAATCACTGGACATGATAGAGGATAATAATAGCCCATCTGAATGCTGCAGATGGTTGCAGCGCAATAAATCATGGGAGAGGAAACCTTGGCAATGAAGAACCTCCGCAATATTGGGTCAACCTGTGAACTACTCTCGTAAATTAAAAAAAAATCTATTGTAAAAGGTACACTTCATTTCAGTAGAAAGTGATTTTTGTTTGTAATTTAAATTAAAAAATTGTGTAAATGTGCAACATAATAATTTTATTTTTTCAGGAAAGTCATCCAATTTACAAAAAGCGGCAGAAGCTTATATGAAAGGACAAAAGCAGACTGCCGATATGATTAATAAATTAATTGATTCCGTGGCTAAGACTGAGGCTGGGCACTTAATATAAAGAAAAAGAGCTTGAATTGAAGGAACTAGAATTAAATATAAGTTTACTAGAAGCTAAAACTAAATATAGGGAACTAGACTTAAGGGATAGGGAAATTAGGATTAGGGAAGTAGAATTAGGACTTAGTTGTTGCAGATAATGATGCACAAAGTGATACTTCTTTTGACCACCTTTTTACAACAACATTTTAGATACATGTATATTTATTTATACTTTTACTAGGTATTCTTATTGAGAGATACTGTGAGAAGTGTCCAGTATATAATTTCAGATATAGGTAGTAAAATAATGTAAAAAGATAAAACATATATAGGTAGCAATTATTTTATTTTAGTATTATGACTTGCTGAATAAATAAATAAAATATACATTTTTTACCTGTTTCTTTATTTTTTTAAATATACACGAAAAGTTTTATTTTAAAAATTACATCACAGAATGTTTTCAAAATTAATATTCCATCATCCGCGCTATCTGGATGTACATGTTTGAAGCCACTAAATATGTGGGTAAAAACCTTTTATATGTTATTTGATTAACTTCGAGTTACATTTTTTTAAATTATAAACTATAATGTTTAAGTTACAAAAGGAATTGATTACATGGCAACACATGACTCCACTGGGGTTGCTAATCGTTAAACGAAGTGTGTGTGAGGACTTGTTGATAGCAACTGCTGTACATAAAAACATTCATTTTCACAACATTAAACATAAAAGAATGATACTAGGTCAAAAATTCAAGAGGACGAATATATCCGGTACACTTTAACTTCAGGTGTCTATTTGATCAAAAAAAAAAATCAAATACAAATTTTAAATCCTAATTGAAATTATTTCGTATTAACTGACTTCTTACTCTTCTGCCAGCAGCCAATCTATCATCTTCTGGTACTACAACAAAAATACAAATTTAAGTTTTATACAGAAGTATGTTAATTTTTATTATGCTTTCTAAACACAACAACATTGTCAAGCAAAAGCACAGACTTACAATTGAAGACATATTTACAAAAACAACATAACCCACATTTTTTCAAAATTCGAGTTAATGCTCCAGGCAACTCTTTGTTTTAAGATACATCGGATAGTGTAAAAGATATTTTACAAAAATGACACAGAACGCTAAAATTAAACGGCGAAAATATCCATGTTTTCCATGTCCATGCTTGTCTGTGTCAAGCTGTCAAATAATATAACCTAACCTCAAAGTTCAGTTTATAAGTTTACATTTACGTTTTTGATAAAAATGAATGATCAAATAAGTGAAGCTGGACTAAATAAAAAACGAAAACATAAAGAGAAAAAGAAAAATGTAATAAAAATTAAGAAAGCTAAAGGCATTGAACATATTAACCATAAAAAAGGTTAATCCCAGCTCGCAAAGTAGGACCTGATTGTAGGTAAGTACCTATAGGTAAGTATCTGTTACTAATACTAGTGTTGTTTTTTGCACTAAATTCTCTCCTATAACTACATACAATAATAAGATTATATTGTTTCAGATGCAAGCTATATAAATGAACAAGACGTTGTTCCGAGGAACAACGTCAAAAAATATTGACACATTTCAATGATTTGGGAGTAAAAAACGTTCAGGATGCCTATTTAATGAGCTATATTTCGTCATCCTACCCAAAAACACATTCAAAAGAACCACCTAAAAGATTTCGAATGGCCACTTATTTCTACAAAATTCGTATAGATGTAAAAGAACAGCCTGTATGCCTTACTGCCTTTTGTAATATACATAGTGTTACAAAAGGTCGCATTAAAAGGCTTCAAGATCTCCTTTCTGCTAATATATTAACACCTAAAGACAAGAGAGGCAGCCACAAGACAAACCGGTACAAGAAAACACCAGAGGAAATTTTGAAGTTAATCCGCTATCATATTGAGTCTTTTAGTACAAGATAATCACATTATTCTTTGAAAAAAAATCCCAACTGTAGATATTTGCCTGAGGATTTGTCAGTAAATAAAATGTATAAATTTATTGTATTGGCATTGTATATAGCATATTTAGTGTATTGGGCAGTTTTCAAAAATGAGTACAATCTCAAGTTTGGTCTTCCACGAACCGATACATGTGTCACATGTGATAGTTATAAGCTAAAAATTCAGTTGGCAAATTTAGAAGAAATAGACATACTTAAAACTGAGCATAAACTGCATTTAAAGAAGGTTGAGAAGTTTACTGAAATTAAAAGAAAACTAAAGCAAGATGCCCAACAAAGTAAGATAATGTTGCTCACCTTTGATTATATGCAAAACCTACCTTTGCCACACATACGTACCAGTGATGTTTTTTATTGTCGCCAGCTGTGGATGTTTGTATTTGGGATTCATGATGTTGGTAAAAATAATGTTGTTTTAGACAGTTACTTAGAAACACAGGGTAAGAAAGGCCAAAATGATGTCACAAAATTATTACTCAGATATTTAAATCACAATAAAATTTATTCCAGAAATTTAGTATTGATAAGTGATGGATGCTCAGGACAAAACAAAAATTATGTTATGGTTTATTTTCTGTACTGCTTGGTACATGCTATCGGTCTGTTTGACTCCATTAAATATGTGTTTTCTATTAGAGGTCATACATATTTACCCAATGACCAAGATTTTAGTCTAATTGGTACCAAGAAAAGAAAATGTACTGCTGAGGTTCCAGAAGATTGGAACGATATAATGAAAAATGCTCGGGTACACCCATCTCCTTACAAAGTTGACACAATTACACATGATGCCTTCTTAAATACAAAGGAAGCCGTTGAGAAGTATTTTTTCCGTCAAAGTAAACCACCTATGAAATTAAAAGAAGTTAGAATGATTAAAATGTGTAAAGAATTTACATATGTATTAGTTAGATATACATTTACAGGTCCATGGCACAGGATCAACATACGAAACAAACGGAAGTTGCCCAAGGAATTGGAGCTGAAACAGCTATATGAGTCCTCATTGCCACTGAATCCTTCTAAAGCTAAGGATTTGCAGAAGTTGAAGAAGTATGTTTCAAATCCAGATAGTCAGGAATTTTATGATTCTTTATATTCAAATTTAGCTGTTCAAGAAATAATATCTCTTAATGATATCGACAGCGAGGACAACAGTAGTGGCGCAGAAAATTTTTAATTACTTTTTAATTCACTGTAAATTTCATGAATAAATATATTTTGAATGTATTAATATTGTTTTGTTTAGGATTTTTCACAAAAACAACATATCTACCCTTACATACCCTATTAGATTCGCACAAATACTACATATGTAACAAAATTTTACAAAAAGTACATAAGTGTCAAGGTAAGATTTCTGTTTATTTTTCTAAAAAACAGCCTTCAATGGAAATTAATATACACATTTAAACAAATACACACTATTCTATAATATCTATAAATAATATAATTAAAATTTCCAATTCTCTCAAAGAAATTAGGTTTTTTCTATTTTATGTAAAACATTAAAAATACAGTTATGTTGTTTTTGTAAATAGGTCTTCAATTATTTTGTTGCAAATTTTCGTCCAGCACCGGGACTCCGTGTCACATAGAATTCTATCGTAGAATTCTATCACATAGAATTCTATCGTAGAATTCTATTGTCGTTTTCTATCTACAACGGCGATACTAACGTGTATTGGCACTCCGTGCGTATGTCGTTTCGCTTCGGTATTTTCCGATCTCTCTATTATCAAATGTAAAAACATTAAACTGTTGGTTTTACTCAAATATCGCATTTATTGTCTATTATCTTTATTTGTAACACATTTTAGAGAAAGAAAGTACTATTTTTGGGGTTTTTAATCGTTTGGCTTGACTTTTTCGGTTTATTACGCGGGTCATTTGCATGCTGCTGTTTGGTTTTGTTATTTGAAGTTATATTAAAGAGTTTCATCTTCGTTATATTTTTGGATAAAAATGAGGGTCCGAATGGAACATTGGGAAATGTTGCTTTCATTTTGCGACGAATATCCAGAATTAATAACGAATAAATTTAATGGAAGTGAGGGACGAGCTGAAGGAATAGCTGTGTGCCAAACTGTTACCACAAAATTAAACAGTTTAGGATATGGCGAAAAAAGCATACAGGGATGGAGAAAGGTAAATATTTTAATTAATTAATCATGAACAAAATAATTGTGTGGAAACATAGTATTTTAAAACTAATGTTTAACCTTTTTAGACACTAACAGATTGGAAGTGCAAAACGAAAGCGAAAGCAGTTTCCTTAAGAAAGGCACAGCAAAAGACTGGTGCTGGTTCACCTCAGCAACCTCTTTTATCCACATTAGAGAATAGACTTTTAAGTATTATGGGGGTCACTGCTGTCATTGGTAATGAGTCTGTATTCGAATTAGGTTTTGGAGAGGTAGATAAATTTTATAATTTATAGTAATATACTATATACTAACCATATTGTGGAAAATATGTAAAAATCTAATAATAATTTAATTTGGTAGGTTGAAGTCCAACATGTTGAAATAACAAATAATAGTATAATGGTGGAACATGATTATTATATCGAGGTAGGTACATTTATTTTTGTAATAATGTTAGAATTTGAAAAATAGTAATTTTTGTGCATGTTTGTTTTTTGATGAGAAATAAACATGCCACATTTGAATCATTTTTATTGTAATCCTTAGTTATTTTCATTAAACAAATTTTCAGATGTTCAGTATTATATATAAAAAATTGGTGTATGCTAATTCATCATAATATAACAGTTTACATAAATCAAACTGTATTTAGTATCATTCCACTCTAAAATATGTAATATATTAAAAATATTGCTGCATTTTTATGTTGATTCAAATTCCCTTATTTCAATAAAACCAGTTCTTATTATAGAACACTTGTTATTGCCTGCCCCATCCTAGCTGGTGGGTTTCATATATCACATAACTAATAAATCTATTATATTACAGATATTGGCTTAGTTATTGTTATTATGTCATTGTTAGAGTATTTATATGAATTGCATATATCCTATAACTAATAAATCTATTGTATTACAGACATTGGATTCTTTATTGTTATTATGTCATTGTAAGAGTATCTATGTGAATTTCATATAATATCATATAACTAATAAATCTATTGTATTACTGACATTCCATTCCTTATTGTTATTATGTCATTTTAAGAGTATTTATGTGAATTGGGCTTTTTGTTTCTGGTTTCTATTGAAGTATTGATAATTTAAACAAGTAACAAAACCTCTATATTATATTTGTTTTCTTCATAAGTTACCAAAACTATTTATGACCAATGTTTGCGAAAGATATATCAGAATGTTTTAGAAATTGTGATTTCCTGATATTTGCAGATGATTTGAAATTATTTAAATCCATAGATTCAAATGTTGATATAACTTTAATTCAATAAGATTTAGACAGGTTGAGTATTTAGTAATAATATTTTGCATTGAACTGTTGCCAAATGCTGTTGTATAAACTTTTACAGTGTTATAGAAGCAATATCATCTGGGGGTCTATTTTTTTCGCCTTATTTGCTTTATGGCATTTTCTTGGTTGGTCTGGTTTCATAAATTTTCATTTGAGATTCAATTAGGATATAGGTATATGATTTGTAGAATCGTTGTAAAACTTTAATATAATAAAGTGTACTTGCTGCTAAACTATTTCAACATCATTTATAAATCCAATTTATTTATTTTTTCTGTACAAGAATTCGAGTATTTTCATATTTGTAAAATCATACTATTCATTGTTATTCTACTTGTACCAATAAAGAGTGATCATTCTCATTTGTGTTTTAGATTTAAATATACTTTTTTTTATAGAACCAGGTAGATGAAACTCCAACCAACCAGCCCAGCACTTCTCGTGCCAATTCGGAAAGAGATGGAGGATCTAATAAAAGCGTTAAAAGAAAATTAGACCACCAAAATAATACGGGAACTAGTAATAAAAAACCATTTCGACGTAGGCCAATGGCAGTTCCATTATCAAATGAACTATTGGATCTTAATAGACAATCCGTAGAGCTTTTGCAAAATGTTAGCAATAATACTGATAATATGGCAATATCTCTGGAGAGCATTGCCACATCATTGAAAATAATGGCCGAGATTTTAAAAAATAGTGGGTCAAGTAATAAATAATAGTTGTTAGTGGATCTATCCTTTATTAGATTTGTACTTGTTATAATGTTATAAATAAAATGTGATGTTATTAACAACGTGATGATTTCTTCCTATCCTATATGATAATCCTATCTAAAATATGTATTGATAAAGTTTTGTCTAGCGTTATGTCCAACTGCTCTTAGCAAGTAGTTGTTAGGAATAGGAATATTAGGGTTTTCATCATGTAATGGCAAATCAAAATCTAATCCACCATTTATGCATATGTTGTGTAAAATAGCACATGTATTGGCAATATTGCCAACTTTTTCTGGAGAATACCTCAATATTTGTGAAAGACATAGAAATCTTCCTTTAAGCACTCCGTTACATCTCTCAATACAATTACGTGCTTTTATATGTGCTTGAGTATATCTATACTCTGGAGTATCTGGCAATGCATTTTAACAGGAGTCATTAACCATGGCTCTTGTGGATATCCAGAATCACCTAGTAACCAGCTGTTTCTTTCACCTAGTAAATAAAATATGTAATTTAAAGTATTTTCTATCATACAGTTTGTTGTAAAACATCTAACATACCTTTACTTTGGTAATTAATTTCCAATTCTGCTCTCATTCTTGAGTTTCTCCAGATAAAAGAATCGTGGGTAGCACCTGCATATCTGCAATTTATGTTTAAAATTTTCAATCTATGGTCACACACCTGAAACAAGTAATAAATTCACATAATAAAAAGTGAAAGGAAAGTAACTTGGTATATATATAATAAAACCATTAAAAACCTACCAATTGAATGTTTTTAGAGTGGTATCCTTTTCTATTGACATAATTTTGTTCCTCAACTACTGGTCGTAGTATTTCCACATGCGTGAAATCTACAACTCCAATCACTCCAGCGAAATTAAATGCTTCCATAAATCCTAGTTTTATTTCATTTTTTGATTGTAATGTTGTCGAAAAACATATCCATTCATTTTCCAATATATTGATAATAGTAGATGTAACTTCTTCCACTGCTCTGGACATGCTTTGTTGAGACATGGATATGTCAAATCCACGGCCAATAACTCTTTGATATGCTCCAGTGGCATAAAACCTTAAGGATCCAAAGAATTTCAGCAGAGAAGGAATGGCTACTGAATTATTCGTGTGCACCATATTGGGTGCAATTTGATTATAAACATATCGCTCCATTGATAGAAGAACGTCATAACTCAAAAAATTATATTTTACAGATTATGTATAAAAACAGGTGCTAACATAACCTACTTTTATGTGGAAGATCATCACAACATATGCATTACAATATTGCCAACAGATGGCAATAGTGTCGTTTCAGATGTCACCGAATGAACTGATCCGTTATGCGGAAGATCGTCAGTTTTAACTTAACTCGCAAGCGAAACTGTTGTTCCCGTCTTAGTTTTATGGAAGATCGTCGCAACACCAAAAAGTGTCGTTAGGGTACAAGTGTTAAAGTGATTTTGTGGAAGTACTTCATAAAAACAATTGGGTCGTTTGGGAATAAATTTAGTGTGAGATTTGTGTGCTACACTTTTAGGTAAGAACGTCAAATTGGTATATATGTCTATTTTTCGTAAAAATGCTTGTAAATTTTAATTAAATTTTATGCTTACTGTAAATTGATTTGGATTTTGTCGTTGTTCTTTATAAAAACTGGCATTTTTAATAAATTGTGTCTTGTTTCATATCCGATTTAATTTAAAAAGATACAGACTAAACTAAATTTCTGTTAGGTATTTGTGAAATAATAATTATATCAACTATTACACATAATATTTTTTAAATGTACAGGGGATCAACTATTTTATTGACCACTAGATTGCTATCTTGGAAACGGTGATTGTAATAGTCAGGTATATTAGAAAAAAAATGCATTTTTTCGTGCCAATTTAGGATACGTTTACAGTGTTGAAAAATGTGTGTTAGTTTCGAGATACAGGATGAGTGATGAAAAATGGCAATTTTTTAAAACTTAAAATCTATTGATTTTCGAAATGCAATTTAAGTTTCAGAGTTTTATATTTTATGCTATTTAACCGACCTTGTAGCTGTTACTGATTCTGAGATAGCAATATTATAGGATATAGTTACCACCTTGTATAAATAGGAAATTTGGTATTATTTTATTATTTTTATTTTTAATCGCGTTTGTAATCGTATTAAATTCGATTTTAGAAACAAAAATGGAAGATCGTGGGAAGTTATTGGTAAAGTTGGCTTTTGACAAAAATGTAGATGGCAATAGTATTTGGAAAAAAGTTGAAGAAAAACGTAGCGAGTCAACATCAATCTCTTCTGGTACTGACAGGAACGATCTTAAAAGAAAGAATTGTTTCTTTAAAATGAACGGATATTTTTGGAGCAAAATTGTTTTGTAGTTGTAGGTTGTAGTGACCACGTTAATATTGTTTGCCCGTTTTAATAAAAATTATTCTTTATCTTTATGTCGTTAGGCTATTTGTTTTTTGTAGGTTGTCTACAGGTTTCGTCCCTGATAAATAAAAAACCTAGCTCGCCGAACCGTCAAGTTGTCCATCCAATACATAGCTATTCAGATAACACTGAAGTCTACGATAAAAGTTAGTATCTTCAGATTTTTTTACAGAAAAAATTTTGGTTTTTAGGTGCACTAACAGAAAAACTAATAAACCTTCTGTTTCTAATTTAATGTCAGACTGGTATATTATTTGACAGATAACTAGTTAAATACCGTCAAGTTGACAAATAACAACCCAATTAAAATTATGGTTACCACAATTCAGTTGCAACTGTTGCAAGTAAATGTACTTATTTAAAAAGTAATTTATTCAAAATTCATTTAAATTTTTTGCATATAATTATTACTTAGTCGGACATTAAACGTTGAAGGCAATTAGGGTGTTATGATTAGGGTATTACGGATAATATATTATCTCTTACGGTCAATGTATATCCCTAAGGCCGTAAGCCCTCAGGATACACACCATTGACCTCAAGCGCTATTATACCCATAATACCATTAGTACCGTAATAACTATATTATTACTTATTTTTTTAGGCCACGTTAATCCATCGTCCATTAATACATTGGACAACAATACCAATGACGACAGGTCAGGTAGTGACTTTTCATCAACAACTTCAGAAGATGTTACTACTGGAGAGTCCAATTATAGTCCATCAGTAAGTGACGCTAAATCAACATCATCCGAATCGCAAGTTTCCTTATCATCTCGTATTAGCAATATATTAAACGAAGATAAAGAAAATGCTAAAGAAGTTAATAAGGATAAAAAACCAAGAAAACGTAAATGTGATAAATCTACCTGGAAGAAAAATTTGGCGAAAAAGTTGAAAGATCAAGGAAAAGCATACGTATCGTCTACTACTAACAAATCTATGAAAGAAAGAACTATGGGCCCTCCGTGCAAAAATACATGTAGGCTTAAATGCCACTTAAGTATACCCAATGAAACAAGAGAACGGATTTTTCAAGAACATTGGGGACTTGGAGATAATAATAAACAGCGCGACTTTATATCCTCATGTATTGTTGCCATCAAACCCAAATATCAGTACCATGTTCATGAAAATAAACGTCGAGATAATAATGCATTTTATTTCACGTTCAATGAGACTAGAATAAAGGCCTGCAAAACATTTTTTAAATCTACGTTAAATATCACAGAGTATTAAAAAATGATGGTAGAGGGAAACATAAAAACCACCGAAACTGTTTTTTATAAAACTTCGTATTCTGAGGCAGACTTTTCGGAAATGACTATCAAAACAGTTCGCGGCAACAGTAAATCATTGACCCTTAATCCTGCATACAAATCTAAAATAAAAATTAGTGAGCGTAAGAAGTCTGATCTTCAAGATTTACTGAAAAATGCAGGCATTCCCTCATGTCATGCAGATTTTTATAATAACTTGTAACTGCCATTTACTTTTTGTATGTTTTACTTATTATCTTGCACTTTTTTAATAAAAAAATATAAGTTTTTTTGTGTTTATTTTAACTTTATTTTAGTGTCACATTATTAAATCAATTTAAATATTTTTTTACAGAAAGTCACATTATAATATAAGACGAAAAAGTGTTTTTAAAATAATAAAAAAATGTATATTTTTTTTTAAGAAGACACAAGTAGTTGTCATTAAAAAGTTTGTCAATCTAAGAAAAAGTCTCTACTACCATTTAACTAGTGTCCTTTGAGTCATCAAACCATAATAAAAGCTTTTAATTTGTTTGGAAAGTTAAAGGAATATCAGCAAGTAAAAAAAACCAATAATCTTTAAACCACGATATTGACACAATGTTGATTTTTGAGTTATGACGTTCTCGAATAAATGGAGCGATATTGTGCCATATCCTTATTCAACCTAAAGAGTTCTTTAAATCGAATATCTTCTATAGCGAAAGGATTGCTTTCATCTCGCATTTGGCGCCTTGTTAACGCTTCGATACGAATTCGCTCTAACCGCTCCTCATTTTCCCCTGCTAGTATGTTTATTATATTAATAGGTAACATGCCTACACTATTTCCACGATCTCAGCAAAATAAAATAAACTCTTACGTAAAAACCAACAACAGTTAGAATGTACACATAACCTTAATCTCCAAAATAAAAATAAATAAATTTACTGTCAACTTGCTTTTGGAATATAATACGCTTGCGCTAGGGTGAAGTAAGGTATATTCGTGATAATTATAGGTTATTTAATTAATGCGGTTAAAGGTTTTAATTTTATACCGTAAAAATATTACCAAAAAGGAGACTTATCATTCAGTAACAACTGCAAGTTACTATTTTGTGTAAAATATTATAAAGTTTAATAATTTATGTATTTTTTTAAATTTTGTTCAGGTAAGGTAATTTCGTGACATGGATATTCAATTTCGTGATAGAGGTAAGGTAAATTCGTGACAATCCAATTTGTGTGCATAAAATTTTTTTAATAATAAAAATTCATTTATTAGGTAAAATTAGGTAATTTCTTAACAAATAAAAACAAAATTAAAATTCTTTACAAGAAAAGTAAATCCATATTTTGAAAAAATAAAACAAAACTAAATTAATTAAAAACAAAAACAGGTGGTAGACAAATAACTTAATCTTCTTCAGAATCATTAATGGTGTCTTCATTGTTTCCACACATGTCGCACATAAAAACATCCTCTTCGGCATCAGACAATTGGCACATAACATGGTATGGAATCAGGCAGTAGGAACACTGGACCCACTTGGCACCATTTTTTCTTTTGACATCTAGTGAATAACTATTACCACACATTCCGCAATCCCAGTCATTATCTTCAGAAACCGCTTTTTTATTGGTTGGGGCTAGAACACAGGATGATGACGTAGATGGTGCATGAATTGGTGAAGAAGGAATAACACTTTCAGGATTGAGGCCTAATACACATGGTGATGACGTAGATGCTGTATCGCTTATTGAAGAAGGCACACCACTTTCAGAATTAAGGCACTTTGCTCTTGAATCGCGCTTCTTTCTATTCGGATTTGCAGCAACTGGCTTTGTTGGAAGAGACAATATGTTGCTAAATGGATTTTGTTGCGTAGGAGCTCCTGCACGTTGATTAGGTATCTCATTAGAAGTGAGTAGAGAAGGTGCAAAAGCTTCCTTAGGAATGGCATTGCTATCAAAGGGACATATCCCAGATTTTCTGAACGCATTTGTAATGTTTGATGCGGAAAAACTTGAAATGTATGCCGGATTTAGAATGGTGTGAAAATTGGTTCTATTGGGCTTCTCTGCATTATCTTTCATATAAACATTTAAGCTTTTGGCCCAATGAGCCTTTAATGACTTATAAACACCTACATCAAGTGGCTGTAACAGATGGCTAGTGTGGGCTGGAAATGTAAATAAATAAACACCATTGTGAGACGCAAGAGATATAACTTCCGGATTGATGTGTGATGCATGGGAATCCATTAATAAAATTACTGCTCGGGCAGAGGGAATTGAGGCAATAAAAAATTGAAACCACTCCAAAAAGATCTCACTGTTGATCCATCCTTTTGGAGAAAGTTTTACTTGTGTATTTGGTAGGCAATCTTTCTTTAAATTATCGTTCCATCGAACTCGTTTGAAAATTATCAACGGTGCAATCCATGTTCCATTGGCACAAATACATCCCATCATGGTTTGAGATTCGCCTCTATCTGCATATGCTCTTTTGTAGACATAACGTTTTCCAACCGAGGTAACGACTTTACTTGGTTTGACCACATAAGATAGTCCGGTTTCATCGCAATTCCAGAGACGATCGGAATTATTCTGAACTCCAAGTCTAACCATTAATGTTTCTAATTTTGTATAAAAATCCCCCAGTATTTCATTATTTGACATTGAAGCCCTGTATGCAGCCAAATTTTCAGGAACACGCAGTGTTAGATTGAATCGCTTTTTATACTGAGCCCACCACCATTTACTAGCAGACTCGTTTTCTTTATTGAAGAAGTGATCTCTCTCCGTACGTTGTGCAAGTTGAAAGGCTATCTTTCTTATCATCTGCACCGTCAAACCAAAACCCAATTCTTGCATTTTTATAATGTAATTAAACAACTGAATTTCAACTTCTGCAGTAAGAGCAAACGGCCTTTCTAGTTTGGCAACTTGGTGATTGTCATCTTCATTTCTACTTAAAAAATCTTTCAGTGTACTCCAGGCTATTCCACTTTGTTTACTTGCCTTGTAGATGGATAGTTTCTCTACTCTTACAAGTCTTGAGGCTTCTAATAAATCGGAGATCTCATATTGGCGATATTTTCCTTTGCATATTTTAGGCATTTTGAATTCTAAAAAAAAAAGACACAGGTAAGTTCGTGATACCCTGGATGTTAGAAAATCTTCATAATATTTATTATTTAATATTTATAGTTCACATATTTATTATATCTATGATAAAAATCCAAATAAAATTAGAGTAAATACACCGCGAATAATTAGTTACATTTTCCCGCGCAAACAAACGTTAAAATGCTTAAGAAAACCGCCTCACAACTTAAGCTATTTCAGAAAACTGTTGGCGAAAATTGCCTGTATAACTTAACGGGGGTACTAAGCAACTTATAAACAAGATCATACGTAATTTTTACAAACTTTCCTTTGCAATATTCACCATAAATAATAAAACAACGAATGTACTTCAGATTTCAAGCTCTCTCGTCAACACAAGGAATAACACTGAAAATAAGTTTTATCCCGGTTCAACAGAGCTTCGCAATTTGACTTGCAGTGGTGGGGAAGGTTGTCGAGTCTTTCCGCTAGAGACTGCAACAAAACTGCTGCTATAAGGCAATAGGCTAGATCGTGACGAATTATTAGAAATTTATCACGAATTTACTTACATCACGAATATACCTTACTTCACCCTATATAGAATTCGATAGGTCTCTGGAGATAGAAACGAAACGACCAAAATAATAGCATTCATGCGACAATGCGGATGTACGGAGTGCCGACGTTGTAGAATCTCTATATGTAGAATACTACATGGCACAGAGTCCCACTGCAGGTCATTTACAAATAGATGTTCGTCTGGCTCTATATTGTTTGACACAAGAATGTTATGTAATACGTAACATGCATTAAATATATGGGCAGCTATGATAGGTATTACTCCTGGGAAGTTAAATTTGGCCATAAAGCTAAAATTTAAACCACATTTTTAACAATTTCTGATTAGTCAGATTAACAGATTCAAATAAATATAATTACCTTGAGTTATTGTGTATTTTTCTTCTATTGTACTGGGGAATTGAATGCACCTTCCACTTATTTGAGTTGAAAGTATTTCACTAACACTCTTTATACACCGACTAATTATTGGCTGACTCATACCCAATAAAAAGTCTTGTCCAACACTTTTTTGACAATTGCCTTGGCCATAAAAATTTAAAGCACACAAAACCTGAAAGCAAACTTATTTAAGTACCTCATATAACTTAGTATATATACAAGAATTTTTTATTTTAGTACACATAACAATATTTAATAAATAAGATATATCTTAAGTTGCTTTACCTTTAAATGATTCGGTATATGTGTAATTATTTTTTTCTCGGCCAAAAAAGGTTCAATTTCATTTATAAGGTCCATTGCTATTTCTTTGGGTAAACGGTACAAGCCCTTAAACCAGTTTTCAGGGATTTCAAAAGGATTACTTGCATCCCTAACGGTTCGCCTTTGAAGATTGAATATTTGCCTACAGAAATAAAAAAGTTATACAAAGTTGTAATGGTAATCAAATACACAGGTATCTTTCAAAATATTTCCGATACAAAAAGTTAATTATTACATTATTTATCACAAAATGTTTTATTTACCTTTGTAACTCTTCTTCAATTTCAATTCCAAAATTGATACCGAAATTAAATTGAAAATCCATGATAAAACTTAGAAATACAATTTTAATACAAACATAAAAAGAAAATTTGAAGTTTTAACATATCAAATTTCGATATCGAAAAGTCATTTCGACAGAATAAACGCTGTCGAAATCAATTTATATTTACGATTTCTATTGTAGAAATGAAAAAAGTTATAGAATCAGATCTAATCGGACCTATTCCATAACTCATTTCCATTATAGAAATGAGTAAAATCGAATCGAAATTGTCAAGTCGAATAGAAATGGTCCTAAATGTTATTATTCATTATT